AATTGAATGACATAACTCTTTATTATGGAAAAGAGAATCACGCTTTATCGACGCAACTACGAAACTATCTCAGAGGTTAGGATTCTAATACGGTCTCCTCAAAGCGCTTTCTTATTAGTCTATTTTATTCCGTTCCACCTACAAGCGAAGATTAAATGGATTCGCGCGGATCGATAGAATTTGTGGATCGATAGATTTTAACGCACTTGGCAGACCTCGCCAAGCGGCATTGGACTGTTTCCAACCGGAACGTTCTGGAAATGTAGTTAACTTGGTACGTAATTGGTATTCTTGTCGCAAAAATTCATTTACGAAATCACTGAATATAAAAGAAGAAACAGGAGATATCTCAAGTAAAAGACATGAGCATTTAATTTCGTAATTTTGTAAATCCTAAATAAAAATCTTGATACAATTTAGTTTTAGTTCAGTTCCTGCTTTTATTTGCATTCGTCTCTAACTAATATTTTATGTGTAACTAATTAAAGATATAACTCGCTGTTAAACTCTGAAGAGGAAAATCTCGAGAAATAGACTGATATTTATAAAATATATCGCGATGGAAATGCTGTAATGTAAGAACAAGAATAGCAAATATAAGCATGTCCACACTACACAAAGTAAATTTTACAAAATAGCAAGCTACACTCGATACCTCATTGGTTGAGATACTTATGTTCTATACATGTGCTTTTCTATCAATTTATATATACTTTTAGCTTTATGAGCTGTTTTGAAGTTAAAAAGTCTTTTCCCTTCTCCTTGATTTGTTTAAATCTATCTGCTAGAGGAATGTAAATCTCTATCATGCAAATATAATTACGACCTGGTTCAGAATTTACCTTCACCGCACTAACGCAAGAGCAAATATTTACGAGCAGGTCGCTCGAAGAAATCATCGACCGTAAAGGAAGTATTCCTTCTTCCCACTTCCGTGCACTTTTGTCAAAAGTTACTTACATACTTCATTATTTTTAATGAAAAATATTCTATTATGTTTTCACTCTGTCTCTCTCTCTCTCTCTCTCTCTCTCTCTCTCTCTCTCTCTCTCTCTCTCTTATATCAAAAATGTTACTCCCATTTTTTTCTTTGTTTTAACTCTCTTTACTCTTCCTCTCCAATTAATTCTTCTTTGTGTTATACTATCTCTTCGTTATGAAGGAAATGGAAGCGAATGATCTCTAAATACGAAGCATTCTATTCTCGCTTGCACCTTTCCATTTTCGTTTGTACCTTCACAAATTGAAGAGGCGTAATACTTCTCATACGCATACAGTTTCTGACAGAGTGCCTTGTCTACTATCTGTAATTATACTGAACTTCGTGCCGTGACTGCGAAAACCTCCTATTCTGAGAACAAATTAAAATAAATCTCAGAGATAGCGGCTGCTATCTGTCTGGCGGGCGAAAAAGATCTTGTTGGCCAACATAATAAGAACTATTTATAGAATACTTTATGAGTGTCCAGGAAATTCGCGCGCGAGGAAGGAATTCACATAAATTATAAAAATTCAAATATTGTAGTCAGATGCGCTGCTATATTTTAAAACATTAAATTTTTAAATAAATTTATGTTAAAAATATCCAAACGCTTCTTTCTTTTCGGTATAAATTTATAAAATTAACATATTTATATTTAATTTATATGTATATTGTCAATTATTATAAATATTAAAAGTAAATTTAAAAAAGAATTTCTATTTATTCTTTATTTTTCTCTTTTTTCTGCAATATTTAATTGTTTATTAGTTTATCAGAAATATTGCTTTGTACTGTATTTTCTACGTATATTTTATCCCACATTACGACTAATGTCGTTTTCCCAATAATTGCGCCCGATTAACACGCTTTACTTTTATTAACATTGGTAAAAATTCAACGATGTATTCGTTAGTTTAAATCTCAAAATTAAAGACAAATCCGGCTTTCAGAATGAAGAGCGGATATACTTCGTTTTAGTTTGACTTATTACTGTTTCACGCCGAGTTTGTAGTACCGAACGAGAAATAAAAATCCGGCTTAGCGTTCCAAGCGGACTATTGGTTGCCTGGAGACAAATTTTTGCGCGATATTGGAATTCTTTTTCTTTCTTCCTTGTTCGGCTAATGCGATCTCGATAAAGAGAACAGAGGCAACGTTCGATCAAAGAGGTAGGGACGCG